CTAATACAACAATAATAAAGGAAGCGCACAGAAATAATAACTGATTTTTATCAGTGAGATGAAAACCCCATGGGGCAAACAAAAATATGACTGGAAAACAGTGGAGACAACAAACAGTAATCGTTTACAACTGAAAGATGATACATCTTGGATGACTCAGAAAACAATGATAAAAGGATGTATGAGAAAACTTTGAATATATTAAATGAACATAAGCCATTGAAAATATATAGGAAATGGAAGAATTATAAAAAGGGTCGTAAATTCAAATCTCCACCCCTTCAGTGCATTTTAGCAGCTTGTGGACGCACAAAGATGAACATAATGTTGGTTTGAACATTGTTAAACAGAAAGAAAGATAGTGACAGACAACTACAATCAACAGAAATGTAAAATTATGTTTTGGTGATGCTAAAATGTCAAAACAGGTATATCTCAAAAATCCATCCACCATTGAGATTTCATAAAATAAATAACAATTCTTCTCCTGAATTATAAAATAAATAATGATTTTAATTTTTCTGTTTCCCTTGTTTCTTTTCTCAAATGTCTCTATCTTGAAATGAGACAAAATAAAGCAAATGAGTGCACTTACGAAAACTATACTTGGTTATCATCTAAACTGCTTATATCTAATACATTACTTATTTACCAAAACAAGATTACTGAAAGTCTGTCTTGACAACTTGAAAAAATGACTCCCTAAGTCACAGTTCGTTTTGCAGTTGATTAATACTGAACTGCCACATAACCTCTAACCCAGTGGTGTCCATGTAGAAAAACACGTTAACTTCAATCAACAGAGAACTTCATCATGGGCAAGATGAGGTTCTTCTGCCATTAAGGAAGAGGACAAAGCTGCAGATGGAGTGATCCATTATTCAGAGCAGAGCCTCTCAAGTATCAGGCTTTGACAGCCATTTGTTAGATTAACTTTCACTTGTTTGCATTTGGACAAAGGAGTTAGCATGCTGAAAAACGTATGGGCTGATTGGAAAGTGTCACATCTAAACCGATGCACAGAAAGCTCGTCTAGAGATTTAGTTAAAATGGTGGGTTCTGCATTCACATTCAAAAAGGCTTAGAATACTAATTTGTAGTCTAAGCCTTTGTAATCATTGGGAGGATCTGCTGGCAAATGTCACTGGTCCAGCCTGCCATTAATTTTGTGTTTTCTTTTCGTTGTTATACCAACAACATAGCACACAATCACTGAAGGGGTCAAGAATACAAGTGCTAAGGAGCAGGAAAATAAGGTAAAGTAAGGTTAGCCAGTGTCACCACCACTAAACCACCTTCAACCTCAACTACCTTTCAGTTCTTAGTTTTCAAAGTGTCTACTGTATCTGTTATGCATTTATTTATTTTTTAAGCTGGATCTCTGATTTGGAAGTTTTAAAAATGACAATGAATCAACACGTCCAGCTCAAATCAAAACTCGTCAAAAGGGGAACACTCCACTTGGATGATTTCGTACTTGCTTATATGTTGTGGGAATTAAGAAGTGTGTTTTTGTCCAGCTTAACACTACTACTCTACTCTTTAATGGACTTCCAAAATATTAATTGTAAATTTAGCACGACTTAACCTGTTAAACTGTTTTTAACTGTCCCAATTTTCACAGATACAGAAAAAATGACAAAGCAGGGAGTTTTATATTTACATGTAAGACTGATGAGTGCTGTAATGACGTCCTTTAAAGGATCAATAGCAACAGTTGGGAACTGTCTTGCATGTTGCTTTGGTCCATGTTTGTAATTAACATGCGTATCTGTGTGTATTAAAGAATACTCATGAAGGAGTAAAAAACAAAAAAACAATCTAAAGTTATAATGCCCAGTACTTAGATAAATGTAAAAGCGGCTATGCAGGACTGATAGATGATTCCCTGATAGTGTGAGCAGTGCTAACTGACAAAGTACAAGGCACTGCAGTGCTAATTGAAGGATGTGTGTTTTGGCCTGATTTTAGCATATTTGTGAATGTTTTTACAGCAAGACAGCAAATTACAACCCCAACAATAGAGCAAAAGTTTATTTATCCAACACATTTCATTCTGAGGGTAATACACAGAGAAGCAAAGACCATTAAAAGTATATATACATGCATGCACGGTGCACTGACACCAATTTAAACAACCAAATGCAATTAAATGCACAACCACAATGACACAAGGCTAATTAAAAGCAAAAGAGTTTTTTTTAAATCTTTGTTTTGTGCTTTACCGAATTGCAAGATATTACTTTTTTGTTTTAGCATAGCTGTGTTAGCACTGTTCCACCAAATATATTGTGTCAATCTAGGCTTGCAGGAAGCCAATAGAAAATAACAACCAATACAAAATCAAGAAATCACACTACTGTGACTCTTTGCAGAAAACACAGATTTATCTGTGCCAATATTCCCCTATAGACCAAATTAGAATTTTAATGGCGTCGAATGGTAAACCCATATCAAAGCTTCAAAGGTGCCAGATGCTACGTCCACATTTTTGTAGAGTCTGTGGGGGGAATATATTCATATTGAAGGGCTGTTATCCATCTGTCCATCCTTGCACTCTTTCACGTATGCATCCATTACTGAGGCAGCATGCCCTTTCCATGGCAACGTCCTCCAGCTCCTTTACAGCCCAATCTCTCTACGTATAATGTTCATTTGGACGATACTACAGTTTGCGACTTATGTCCAGTGCCAATGCTTGGTGCCAATATGAGAAGTAGAGTGACATTTATAAAACGCAGCCAAAAGTACGTATTTTTTTTTTTTTTTTCAGCGCTGGTATTGGCTTGTTTTTTGATATTTTGCCAACCAACTAAGTTTAAAGTATAGGTTTGGATTTTTAGTCAGTGTGGATGCAGGGATTCAAATGTTGGTCAGTTCACCAGTGTGGTCCAGACTAAGCCTGAACAATTAATCGAAATCTTCGCAATAAATAAATATAATAAATAATAATAAAAAATAAAGGGCAAAATGGCCTACTGCAATTTTTGTGGTGTGATTACTTATTAGTGTGACTGCACTATTGAAGATTAGTTTGCCAAATAAAGAAGGTATCTCTGTTTTGGTAATTGTGATGTGTCCCCCCTACCCCCCTCCCTGCGACTACTGTATGAGAACATATACCTGCGCCATGGCTCAGCAAGAAAACACTGTTTTTGGAAACACAAAAAAAAGGAATTTTACACTAAAAAGACTAACTTTAACTTGATTTAGCCAACTCAGCCTGCTGACGCTTCATATTGGCGTCAGCTGAATTTAAGAGTGTATTTTTTACAGAACAACTTGTGCACTCCAAACTTGACACAACCCTTTAAATCGTATATATGCAATGGCCACTTAAAAGTGGAACAGATACCAAAACCAAGACGATCAACACAAGTTAAGTCATTAGTATGTGAAAGATCTCAATACATCCTATGGCTTTGGATGTGGATGGAACTTAATTGGTTGATCGCCATTGTTCAAAAGAAGAGACTCTTCCTGGAAATTGAAAAGTGTAATAAAATAGCCACTCCCTGTATGAAGACTCAGATATGGTACACACTCCTACATAGTGAAATGTCCAATCCTTGTTCAGGCATGCACACACAATCTCACTCACACACACATCGATAATGGTTTAAGAGACAACCTTTATCAAATCCAGATATTTTATGAGTGTGCTGCAAAAGCATGTGCACTTAAACCTTTATCTCTCCCACCTCCTCCACTCCTGCAACTGAAAACCATCAAATGTAAATGTCACACTTCTGGGCATTCAGTGCTAGAAGTCTGTGTCAGTCTCACAGCTGGTGTTTTCCTGCATACAGTGTATTTGTCTGCTATATTAGTGACAGAAATATCTGACTTATTTTGGCTACGGTCAACACTAATTTGCTTAGTACAGACTTTCCTCCAAGACTCAGGAGAGGAAGAGGAAATCTTTTAAATCATAGCTGAAGCTATCTGATTGAACATTATGTCATAAGCCCTGCCTGCTCTACGTTGCACTTTACTCTAAATAAAGATGTGATGGTATGAATTAAAAAAGTGTTGACAGATTCTTTGGCGACACTGACATCAGGATCCCAGATGTTTTCAGGGTGCCGTTGTTGCCGTTTGGACTATTTGTAGCTTGTAGCTGCAGGTTCTGTTTTTCCAGCTGTCATTTTGATCAACATTAGTGGAGTATATTATCTCTCCGGTTTAAATGCAATGCAGATAAAATGATGACGAAGAAGAATCTGATCTACTTCTGTCTGTCCGTCTGCACATCCAAAGATTTGTTAGTAGCCATTAAATAAGTAGAATGATGTACAGCATGCCAGGGATTACTGTAATTTAAAGCTAATTTAGAGTGATGGAGTGTGGGGCCTGATCCACTCTGCTTGTGTTTATTCTGTAATACTGTCCACCATGCTAGTAAGTATCACTTACAAATTGCAGTCAAAATCATATGCTGTCCAAATTCAATTCTGTTATCAACATATAGAGTGATACCACTGTCGATGGAATAGCATTATCACCTTTTTTTTTTTTTGACATTTTAGCTATGATTAACAGATTAGAAATTACATATTAATTGAAAATGAAAATTATCAGTTACAATAGTCAGTTTGTTTTGTCCAACCATAAGTGCAAAACCCAAGTTATTCAATTTACAATGATTAAAAAAATTGAGCAAAGCAGTAAATCCTCATCTTTTTGAGATGCAGGAACCAGGAAATGTTGAGCATTTTTGCTGTATAAATTACTTTGATGAATAATTGATCAAACCGATTTATTAGTTTTTGATTCAGCACTAATCAATATATTGCTATTCAAAAAAGGGCTGGACCACAGTGAGTCTAATCATGAAATGTATTGTATTATTTTATTTTGATATTATCTCTGACTAACTATTTCATGACAGATAACTAACAATTATGCCTAATGCCCCAAATTTTTGGTAGCCAGTGTTTCTTTTTACAAGATTTAATACCCCCAGTCGTGTCCCTTCACCGATTCTGTAATTTCGTATCTACCTGGCTACTCTCACCTTCCCAAAAGGAGGAGGATGAGGGGAAGAGGGAGGGCTAATGCGCCGTGATGAAGTCAATAAATAAGGGAAGTGGAGACAACTCGAGTCATTGGATGTTCCGCATTTCACGTTTAACGTCCCAACATGTGTTTGTGTACAGTCGTGCTTTACAGTGGTGGTCCTGTAGAGAGCGGTAGATAGTTTTAATAAGTGGTTACACAGCAGAGCGCTCCCCTTACTGTACTGTGCATAAGCGGAGGGAGGAGCGAGCGTGTAGTATTGATTTTTTAGGTTCTTTCCCTCCTGTCGTTGCAGCCCGTCCAAACGCAACTGGAAGGCAGCAAAAAGGGGAACAAACTCCTCATTTCCACGCAAAAGCTTTGCAGGAAGGAGCTCGGGGAGCTGTGGGAAGAGGGAGATAATTAGATAGTACGAGGCGCCGCAGCTTAGAGGAGGACTGGGCACGGAGTGAGGGGACTCAGCGCTGCCGCTACACTTGTGCAGAAACCGGAGGAGCCCCGCTGACTTTCTCCCGCTTCATTTCCGCCTTAATGCCACAATATCCAACCGAAACTGGTGTCCAGACCGCGTGGGAGTAACCGACGGTAAGTGTCGTTATCAGGCTCGGCGTTCAACAGCGTAGTGTGCACACAGTTGTTTGGCTGGGCTAGCGTCAGTAGCCTGGGCCGGTTTGACAGATCAGATCAGCAGCCAAGGTACACACGGTGTAGCCTACTGTAAGTAACAGTAGGCAGGCTCTAACCTTGTTGGTCTGCAGCCATTCCGCTACTACTGTTGACGTTTGTCTCTGGTTAGTGGTTGTTGTCAATCAAACGATAACACTGCCGGATATACATAGGGTAGATGTGCTTATTTATTTTATTTTTATTTTTTTTAGTGCATCATGCTTGTACTGTGTGCTGCACACAGGCCCGAACTTGGACGTGTGCCTGCTGCACTCTGGCGCGCGCATGGTCCAAACACGCATGCACACGTGCACACACACACACAGGCAGATAGACTGATCGATAAAGATCACTAACTATAATACACCCATAGTACTCCTATAGGGAGCCGTTCAATTCAGTTACTTGACCCTAATTTGCTTTTCCTCTTTTTCTCCTTGAGGTGTAGTAGAAGTGATTTATTTTTTAAATGCAGTTGACATTTTTATTTCAATAACCTTTCCAGTAAGGTATTCTAGTGTTTATTATAGTACTATTGATCCAAATAAAGGCTGGTAACTAAAGTAAGGTTGTAAATAAAGGTCAACTTGCATTTGCTCATCTGGCATAAAATCTTTCTTAACCAAATTAAGTATGAACATTGGGTCATTAACATTCATATAATTCATCTGCATTGTTTATCATTGTGCATAATGGTCCTTGTGATGGTCACAGACTGGCATTCAGAGTTAATGACCCTTTTTTTTTTTGACTTCATGGTTATATAACTTACTGTATTATCACAAATGTCCAGTGCAGCCCAGATGATCACTGTCTGATCTTGTCAGTTGATACGCATCAGAAATTGCCAGTATCAGAACAGACTGTTCTAGTGAGGCGCAATGTGCATTGCATTAAAACAGTCAGGGTCGGATATTAGAGTACCAGACTGTGTGACTCAGTTGTATGAAAAAATGGTGTGCTTTAGATAAACATGCCCACAATATGCAGTCCAGCCCAATACAATAGGGTGTACTTTTTCCTTAAAGACAGCACTGCCCAGGAAGTTGCCATGAAATAAATGCACTGATTATATACTAACTAAAATTCTTAAGCCTGCCAGGAAACACTTTAATAACACAGCCTGATGTCCTGAAGGCCAGACTGACTGTTGACACTTGATAATTCACTTAGACCATGTGAAAATCCCCAGTGAAAATAATCTCAGTGCACGATTGAGCACAGCAAATCATGAATATATTGGTGACAGTTTGTTTAGTGTGTTCTGCAGCTGTTTGTGTGTGGAGGCCTTCATCACCACATTACAGCGCTGTAATAATTAAATCACTCAATGTAACCACTCTGCCCAGAGCTTTTTCAGGGTCTCCATTCTCAGTCGCATTCATTTTCACAGTAGTATCTTACACTGCTGCTGATAGAAAGTGACAGTCTAAAAGCTGTGTGCTCTTGCAGTTGAATCCATCAAGCTGGCAACAGAAGCATTTCCTCTGGCGCTCTGAAGCTTATTTTAAAAGGCAGAGTGTATGGATGTTCACATAAACAGGGTCTAGTGAACATTTTTTATAAGCTAGAATAAGTTCACCCCTTAATTGAAGTATTGGACTTTAGATGTCTTTTAAAAGGTTGCAAATAATTTATTCTCATATTACAGTATGAGTACAGTTAATCAGGAACAACACATATTTCTTACAGCTTTTCTCAATGTGACATCTTATAGAAATTGAACAAGAAACAACAGATGAAATTGAGTTTGGGGGAACATGTAGCTTTTTAACATAAATACTCAAGCTCAAAGTCATCTGGAATATTACATACACTGTCATTAATAAATAATGTTTCTGTCATTATTATGTAGATATATGGGGTACTAAACCTCTGCAGAGTCTGTACTGCATGTTACACAAAAACTGGCTAAAACAAAGCTAATTTATGTCAGATCAGCTGTTATGGCCCCAGATGCCCACTGTTCATTAATCATTAGCCATCAGTTTTAATCGCAGTGTTCTCTCCCTGAGTTGATTATTAGCCCTGGACAAATCCATTGAAGAAAACGTTTTCTCTAAGTATACACTTTATTTTTTCCCATTTCCTTTTATTGAAATGTTTTTTTTCATCCGTAGAAGGAAAGCAAATAGGAAATACTGACTCCTACTGAGTGATGTAACAGCGTTGTACATGAGAGAGCACACTAAGGTGGATGGGTGTAGCCCCATGTGACCTGGTCCAGCTCTTCTCTCCTCGTCTTCTCTTCCTGTTGGCTGGGGCTCCTTTAGGGGGCCAGGAGTGACCTTCTTCAGTCTCTCCCAGCAGAAAGCACCCCAACGGGCCTCTCTTTTTGTGACCCTGTTTCTGTCTGTCTTTCTTCCTGGCCTCCTTGCTCCTTTCCCTTCTCCTCACCCCTCCTTCTCCTCGTCTGCTCCCATCCCCTCCAATTCGCCCACGGTGGGGAAAAGGCGCTTAATGCTGAGAAACATAGAGCGTTTGCTTATATAACCTTGGCTGTGCAGCTGATGTCCTGGTCTGTATCTGTTGTATAATGATGTCAGAGCTGTCTAGAGAGGCAGAGGGCATGCTGGGTAGGCCAATATGTCAAGAGCTATTCCTGAACTGAGTGTGGTGCTGAGTGGGATGATCCTAGGATTTGCCTCCCATTTCCACTTCTTTTGTGACTCAGGATGACTTTGGAAGTTAAAAGGAGAATGATGAGCAGTTACACTGTTTGCCCATATGTCAAGCTAAATATCCAGAGACCTCTTTATCCTGATTTAGATTTTTTAGGTTTGAAAAATACCTAATAAATATACTTATTTGACCTTGGGGGGAGCTTATCACTACAGGTCAGCAAAAGTGACATATTTGTAGCTGATAATAAGCACAGCACAACATTTTATTGTTGCCTTTTCATCTGTACATGTATGTCCTAGACTACAATAGCGTGACATACCTTTTATCTTTTACCTTTATTTCTGTTTGACCTCAGTTGACAGCTACTCATTCCTGTAGAAGCTGGACCCCAAGGCGCTTTACCATGTTGCCTGTGTTTTTCCCTTAGACTAATTAAATCATAGCACCCATGTGCTATAGACTTGTAGGTTGGTTCATAGGATCTATTCAGCCACAGCAGATGCTGTCAACCAGAATGTCACATGATTATCACGCACTGTAACTGTGCTAATGGATTATATGGCAGCATACAGTTTAGCTTTTGTTTACTCACATACTGTATTTAGATGCATCTTATCAACAAAGCCATCTTATTCAAAGAACATTTATAGAAATGTTTGATTCAGTTTATTTTCATTTGAGCGAATAAATCTGCCCTTTTATGCATGAAGAGATTTCTCAGAAGGCAAAACATCAGGCGTTTTTTGTCTGTATATGCCTATACATCATCCATCCATCCATCCATCATCAACCGCTTATCCTGCGTAAAGGGTCACAGGTCGCCAGTCCATTGCAGGGCCACACACAGACAGACAACCAGTCACACTTACACCTAAGGACAATTTTAGGGTCAGCAATTAACCTAGTCCGCATGTCTTTGGACGGTGGGAGGAAGCCGGAGCACCCAGAGACAACCCACGTAGACACGGGGAGAACATGCAAACTCCACACAGAAAGGCCGGGGCAGCCCGGGGTTTGAACCAGCGACCTCCTATACATCATTATGCATATATAATAATCTGACATCTATTGCTGACAAACGTCCTCTTGTTCCACCAAATACAGTTCTGATAGGAAAATACAACAGTTTGTGCAGCTTGTTGCTTCAACTGCTTTCAGTGCTTATTCTTCAGCTGACACTTTAACTGACAACTTCTTTCAAGACTTCCTCTTCCAGTTTAATATATCACCTAGAATTCAACTGACATGTCAGCTATAATTAGTCAGATGAGTTGGCCCGGCTGATATATCTGCTTTAGCTTTTAGCAGATTAATTGGTATCGATATCTGACAACTCCTTTTAGCCTCTTTTTATGTATTAAAGTGAGTCCTGATTTGCCAAATACTATACAATAAGTATAGTATAGATAGCCAATCACATTTGTTTTGTCACTAAAATGTAGAGTCAAAATCATTGCTTTGCCCTTGCAAATATATAGCTGGTGGTAAGTGTGGTGTGGGATATTGTAGTTGGGTTAAATTCAAAAAAGATTATCGATCAAAGGTCATGTTGCCCACAGTACAAAATGCCCAGTTTGGGCTTTTAATTCTGGTGAAAAGATCAATATTAAGGCTGACTATTTTCATTTTTCGTGAATTAATGTTCGGTCTATAAAATGTCAGAAAATTACATTTAGCTGATGCTTTTATCCAAAGCAACTTACATATACATGTCAGAGGTCGCACGCCTCTGGAGCAACTAGGGGTTAAGTGTCTTGGGATTAGATTGTCCATCTAAGTTCCCAGAGCCCAAGGTGATTTCTTCATATAGCTTGTTATGTGCAGCCAACCCAAATACACTCAGTGTACAATTATACTAAAAAGGGAAAAGCAGCAAATATTTACATTTGAGAAACTGGAACCACACACAATATAACTGAAATTGAGTTTTGTAACACCCTTCTGCTACATAGCAGACAATATACATTAATACAGAAGCAATTATAAAAATGGCAAACAGAAATAAACTGTAATCAATGGAGCAGTGCTGAGGATGAATTTGAGCTTAAAAGTTTGATGGCTTGGGGGGGGGGAAAGCTGGCACCAGAAACCTCTATATCTCTTCCCAGAAGGCAGCAGGCAGCATATATATATCTATATATCTATCAATCAATCAATCAGTAATAATAAAAAGTAATGTGCATCCTCTAGCATCTCTGTCATAACCGAAATTCCATGCTTTTTCCTGCTGTAACATCTGGCATGTGTGTCCTCACTGGCAATTCAAACCTCATTAGCTGAGAAGAATGAGGCTA